TTTTTGGTTTTCTTTAAGATAATCTAATTTTTCAAAGATCACATACATGTTTATCTTTTTTTTTAAAATCAGAAATACCCTTTGTTGAGTACAAAAACTCCTGGGAAATATGCGAAACTGGATCTTAACTCTAAAAATATTTATCCAAAAATCTGAAATCTAAAAATATTTACGGAATTGTGATCATGACGGTGAAGATTTCTCCTAACGTAGTCTATTTGCTCTCTAAAAGACATTTACTGGAATTTAAAAATATATAGTAAAACAAATGTAAATTTTAATGTTAAATGGTCACATATTACTACATATCTTCTATCTCTTATTTACATATTTAATTGCATTTCATTCTTTCATCTTTTCAAATCGTAGAACAATGCTTTATTTTTTTTTCCTTAGACAATTTTCGTGACTGAAAATTATTCTGCTTTATGTAATAATGATTACCCGTATAGTTGCACCCTTTCCTTTTAAAAACCAAATCTAACTATCTTTTATACGTATAGTTTTTCATACAGAATATTTATGAAAAAAATAGTCCTTCTTCTATACATATCTTATTTAATATCACCCCAAGAGTTTCTTTTCATTCTTTTCATTTCCTTAAACACAATATAATTTTTCAATAACCCCATGCATGATTATCTTCTTTTTTTTTATCATGAATACCCTTCGTGGATTACGAAAACTTCTCGGAAATATGTGAAACTGAACATTAATTATAAAAATATTTATTCAAAAATCTGAACTCTAAAATTATTAACGGAACCAAGACTATGACAGTGATTTCTCCTTGCGTAATTTATTTGCTCACAAAAAAGACAGTGGAATTTAAAAATATTTCATGAAAAAAATGTCCATTTTTATATAAAATGATCATATGACACCTACGTATCTTATATCTTTTATTTACATATTTAATTGCGATTTATTTTTTCGTATTTTCAAATAGCAGAACAATGCCTTATTTCCTTCCTAATTATAAAAATATTTATTCAAAAATTTGAACTCTAAAATTATTAACTGAACCGAGACTATGACAGTGATTTCTCCTTGCGTAATTTATTTGCTCGCAAACAAGACAGTGGAATTTAAAAATATTTTATAAAAGAAATGCCCATTTTAATGTAAAATGGTCATATGACACCTACATATCTTATATCTTTTATTTACACATTTAATTGCGATTTATTCCTTCGTATTTTCAAATAGCAGAACAATGCTTTATTTCCTTCCTTCGACAACATTTGTGTCCGAAAATCATTCTAATTTATGCAATAGTGACCCCTCCTATAGTTGCACCCTCTCCTAAAAATTTAAAAACCAAATCAAACTATTGTTATATTTTCAATCCTCACATAATATTTATGAAATAAAGATAGCCTTAAGAATTTTTCTATTCATATCACCGCAAGCGTTTCTTTTCACGCTTTTGATTTCCTTTAAGACAATACAATTTTTCAATGACCGCATACATAACAATTTTCTTAAGCATGGATGCCCTTTATTGATAACGACGACCCCTCGGAAATAAGCGAAACTGGACCTTAACTTTGAAAAAAAAAAAGAAATTTATCCAAAAATCTGAACTCTGAAAAATATTAACGGAATCGTGACCATGACAGTGAAGATTTCTCCCAACGCACACACTTTTACTGCGGAATTTCAAGGACCCTGACTCTCGAATCTGCGTGTCATTGATAAGTGATTCCCATTTGAATAAAATACGTGACCGGACGCGATGTGAGTCGATTTGAACAATAACGCTTACTACGGAGACGGTATTTGCATTCCGTGCTCCAGTAAAAACGCTTGACAAGGGACGCGCATAGACGTAAAACAATGGGAAATCGCAATTGATCTGAAAGGACATTGATGCGATTCACTTTTAAAATTTTTGGTTCTAATTAACTTTCTACTCATGGTTGGAAAAACAAACGGCGGACGCGGGCAATCACTTGTCACCAAAGTTTCACACGTATTTACATGATTTCTATCACTAATTTAATTTTCCGCTATGTATCAAGAACCAGCCAGACATCCTGAACTCGTTGAATTACTGACCATGTCCTTTGGACCATCAGGTCATGCATCACAGTTCAGTAACAACCAAAGAAAACGGCGTGTCGCATGCATATTCTGAATGGGGCTATTTTTATTATTTTTCATTCAGTTTTTATTTTTAATGAAGTATAAGCTCAAAAGAAAAGGAATTAAGAAGAATTGTGAAAAAGACTTTCGACGTTTACTTCTCTAAGAGGATTACTGGAAATTGAAAATGAACAATGACAAAAATAAAGACTATGAATCACAAGATTAAAAAAGCGTGATTTTCCTGTTTCGCCTAGAATTTGTATTTAGTCAATTTAGATACTGAAAATGCATACACATATATAATTTTAGTAATATGTTATTACAATCTGCATTTTTGAGTATCCGAAACGGGTAATATTGGTGCAAAAGTTAGAATAGGTGTACAAATGATGTCAGATATTCAACTAGGTGTTATGGTGTCTAGGTGAGATCACCTATAAAATTTTAATGTTCTTTCCATTTGAGAAAATCAAATTATGAAGAGTTTCTTGAAATCAATTATTTCCTATCATAGAATACTTTCCTCTTATAATTACAAATGTTTTTATAAAAAATATGAATTATTATTTTCATCCAATGCTTTATTTAATCTGTCTCTTTTTTAATATTTTATTTTCTATTTTTAAAAATTACACTCCCCCTTTCAGGGACATTTGAGGAAATTGCCCCAGGCATCCACATAATTCTGCATGACACTGTGTGGCTTCAAGGGAAGGGAATTATTCAGTTAATGCGTTTTAAAATATTTGTAATACATATATAAATATCGGGTACAGCAAATAAATTAGAATAGAATGCTAAGTCTCAGTTAGTTACAATAGATGTACTTACTGGTAAATTAACCGTTTGGCTACTAACTACTACTTTGGCCCTTTGCCTACTAACTCATTTGTCTCAACAAATGCTTAAAAATTATTAATGGGATGAAAAGCACTTAGAAACTCATTGTAATATGTCCCAGTCGTAGAGTAGAACCAAGTATACGTGTTTCATGTGTCAAATATCCCCTAGATGACGCTAAAGAGTTTCGTGCATGAAATGGCATTGTGATTTTGCGCTGGGACGGATATATCCCACTAAAATTCTTCATTGGGACAGTATCCCACTCGTATTCTTCATTGGAATTGTTATGTCCATTCATATTTTATTCATATTTTCTCAAATGAACATAGGAAAAAGAACAAATATTAGTTGTCCAATGTGTAATGCCGGGTTATGCAAAGATTGCTGCATCATACCATGTAAAAAAAGTCCATATAATAAATTTTCCGGAATGATAGATGTGTTTATAGTAAGTCGATCACTACAGATGGGACATATGTTTCCCACCATTAAGCACGGCCGGAACAAAATGTCCCAGCCTCTAAATTGATAACCGCTTGTCAGAAAAATCCTAAATACTAAATTTGCCTTATTTGTGACCGATTTTGTCCTTTTGAATAATAAACGGGACAAAATTTGTAGTCAAAGGGTTAAGCATGATTTTAAGTAGTACTAACCACCTTCAAATTAAGTTTGAGTAGTTATCTTCGTTTCTTTAATCAGTTTGATCAGTTTCTCTAATAATGTAGATTAGTTTTCCCAACTAAAATAAATTTTATAAATATACATTTGAACCAGAAAATCTTTTGTCTCTGAAGATTGTCGTAAAACTGCAGGATACGGAATTAAATATTTAACGTTTAATGCCTTAAATCCTACTATATCGATTTGGAAACGTTACGATCGTTGTGGACACAAAATAAGTAAAAACTTATTTTGGCTTGCTGTTTGTAGTATGATCGTTCTATATTTTTTTCAAAAGCTAAACGCAGCTTTAGTGGTTCGTCTAGTTATTAACCATTATTTAATTATAAAAAGAATTTTGGAATTAAACTTTTTTTTCTTCCAAATTAATAATTTTTAAAAAATATCTAAGAAATGATAAAAAGAATTTTATAGAATTACCAGAAATTGAAACCCGAAAGTATGCATATTTTTAATGTGGCGGAGTATGCAATGTATACGTCGTAACTTGCTTCAAGAACTGTTAGGACTCTTAGCTCAACATTGAAGTATACTTTCTGATATTAAAAAAGGCCTGAATTTTTTTGATACTATGTTCCTTAAGCTACACAAAGCTCAATTAGTACTTTGGCATCAAATTTAATTGATACATTTGCGTGATAACTTATTTATTGGAAATCAATAGTTTTCATTTTTCTTTAACTGGGTGTTCTGGTGTATAAATTGGCAGCCTTTTAAATTATCCAGTTTTTAATCAGCTTTCATGAAAGATTGGTCAAAAGAAACGCAATCCTGTTTCGTATGTAAACCAAATGAAGCATCTCACAAGTTAGTGGACCAATTTTTAAAGTGGACTAAGGTGGTTGGAATTTCATTGCATAGAAAGACTAAAAAAGTGCAAAACTGTGAAGCAAAAATCATCCTGATATTGAAACCCCCATGAAACGAGAAAGCTGTGCAAATGATTTGGGTCTAAAAGCTACACCATTCATTGTTTTATCAGAAGCAGCAGCAACAAGTGTGATATTGAGAAATTTATTGTTTATAAATTGATCAAAGATCTAGCAATGTTGTGAAATATGGCTCAAAATTTTGACAGTTTCTAATTTATCCAGAGACATTTTACGTCTAGTATAAGATCTGGAAACTTATGCTCCCAGTGGCTGATTGAAAACAGATATAAATTAAATTGAAAATCCAAAGGAAAAAAAAAACTATACGTCAGTTATTCATCCAGTATAGGATATATGAGCCTTGAGAACTGTTGTACTATTCAAAACACCTGTTGTTATTAAGATTAGTTAAATGCAGTAATCATAAGGCCATATATATTTTTCTTTCCATATTATATTCAATTTCCTCCCTATTTTAAAAATATTTGCATATTATAAATTTACACTTACGGCTGTTTTACACCCTTTGCGCCTCTAATTTTCAATTTCAATTCTTCATAATCACAGGCTACATCAATTTTTCTGTCGGATGTTCGAAGAACGAACGGATGATGCTGAACAACAATGCTGTTTACAAATGTCCCATTACCCTAAAGCAAAAAGAGAAAAAGAATTACATCTTCTCATTGGAATGCATGCATTAATGAGCAATTTACCTCATTGATAATAAAGTACGGTCAAAACATCGTAACATTTACCGTGTTTCTGGGTCTATGAGTACATCAAAAAAATTGGTAATTTTTAGCGACGTACTCACGATCTTATAATATGTTCTAAAATTTGGTAAATTTGGTAAAATTTGGTAATTTTATCATGATGTTTTCCTCAGAGCATGACATGAAAACCATTTATTCGGTTAAATTTATTTTTCAGTTTTGCAGTATTTACTAAACATGTGGTAATCACTATAATTTTGAAAACCAGAATTTCCAGTAAATCATAACTATATGACTGGAAAAAACTATGAAATTAATGGTTTAAATACCGTATATTTTGGTTTTATAAACCAAAATTCTCTTTTTTTTTAAAAAAAAAAAATTCTTTCATTAGAAATGTCATTATTACACCTACGATAATTTTACTAGAATTTTTTTCCGTGCAGCGATGACAAAGTATTTACAATTAACGCATCACATTATTTTAAACACCTGAAACAATTTCTTTGGTGGGCCACCTCTCTAAATACCAGTTCAAGAAAAAAATAGCAAAAAAAAAAATAATTAAACTACACTCGTATGTATACATCTGAATTTAAATTAATCTTTTTAAAAAAATTAGTGAAATTCTAGAATATATTGTAAGTGCTATTTTTTTGTGGTTAGAAAAAAATCTGATGATTTTATTACTGCATCAAATGCTTTTGCTACATTATTTTGTATGACTTTTTTTAGGAAATGAAAAAATCTATTTTTTTCATCATTCAATAAGCTCTTGTTACAATACTTTGCAATTATTTATATATTATTTTTTTGAATATAATCAGATATTTATTTATTGAAAATAAGATCTCTTTATGAAGGATTTGTTTCGTATTTTTTGTTAATATACTTGTTTACCATAAAGCATATATAACATTATTTATTCGCAAATACATAAGCAAGTAGTAACGTAAAATAATTTTTGAAACAACCGTGTTTTGTACTGATGATTATATTAAAGAAATGATAAGTTCTCATATCTTTATTGAAAATAGCCTCTACTTAGAAATGAGTTTTTTTCCATGTGGATAAAATTTATTTTAAACTGCTAAATCATTTCCTTGTATACAATTTTTAATTACCAGATAATAGTAAATAGTTTGTTCCAAATTTATTTTTCTGCTTGCTACAAAACTAAATATCTAATAATTGTTTCTTTCAAAAATGCTTAAGAAAGTAGCACAAACTTTTCTTAAAACTACTGTTTCTTTCCAAAGGTTGTAATATATAAAAAAGATGTTTTCATATATTTACTGAAAATAATCTGTGTTGAGGAACCTTTTTTTCTTCACATTTGGGCTCACAAACATTTTTACGATTTATTCACTGCTGTATCTTGTCTTGATAGTCTCCTTCCCGTCTTTAAAAATGTCTATGCTCTATTCTAGTCATTTTAAGCCAGAAAACGGAGCATAATATCGTAATCTTAAGAATGGAACTAAATTAAACTTTCTGAACTTGAAACAGAGACCGTAAAACCCTCATAAACCTTCTACAGTTCGATTGAAATAATTCTTAACTCAAGATCCTTCTGTTACTGAAGTAATTTTTAAAATTGGCACTTTTTGCATTTATTTTTGTTATGTTTAAAAAAAAAATTTAAGAAGTTAGGTTTCAAATATTTATAAAAATAATTCTTATTTAGGAATGATTTTTTTTCTGCATTTGAATTCACAAGCAATTTTACGATCTATTCATCTTCTTGTCTACCATAACTAAATTCCTGTTTATTCACAAATACATAAAAGAGTAGCATAAAAAGTGCTTTGAAACTACCATGTCGAATTTTGATGGTTTCTTCTCTGCATTTAAAGATTTAAATGACTACATTGTAAATAATTGCCGCATCTTAACCTTAACCATTTTCGAAGTTTACGGAAGCTATATACTTTATGTGGGATGGCAACACATGAATATCAAGTCTTAAGAGAGAGAAAAAAGGTTCCAATCATTAATACCTTAAACACTAAATAGGGAAACCACCCCTATGATTTATGAACGTTTCCAGACAGTCTAGTGTCTTTAAATAAACCTCTGATCTTGACGTAATATCTTTATGAATAACAAATAGGTCGAAGATCGAAGGGAAAAAGAACATTCCTTAGCCTAACCCATGATTATAAGAAACAGTGATTGGAGAGAAAAGATAAAAGACGTTTTTCGAATACCATTAATAATTGATATTCGAACGTGGGAGAAGTACAAATTACATTGAATGGTTAAACTATTTGAAATAATTTTAACGAAAAGTTTGATGATTCGCATGTTAATGGCCCATGATAATGGCCACTTTGCTTAATGTTAAAGTTTAGGTAACGATTTGCATCTCGACGAACATTTTATTTTTATGAAGGACTTTCCATTTAATTAAATTTTATTTCTTGAATTCATTAAATTATTTTTCTATTATTACGATTTAAAAACAAAATACAAGTAAAATAGCCCATTTTTATATTGTTCATTAATGATTACCAAAATTTGTTATAAGCATCTATTGTCAATAATTATTTATTATTCTAGACAATATCATTTCTCCTTAAAATTGTATTGTAAAATTTACAAATACATTCTAAGGATGCAAAAGTATTTATGATTCTAAAAAAAAAAAATGTTACACCTTTTTTTATAAAAAAAAGCGATGTCTCATAATAATTATTCGAATAGTTGTTCCATAATTTCATCCAATATGTTTCTTTGTGCACTCTCAGAAATAAAACTCTCACATTTGATAATTCAGAAATCCTTGAGCTGTATTTCATTAATTTTGAGAGTAATTTTGTCACAAATCAAGTGTTTTGTGACGAAACGCGGACTCTCAAATAAGGGACGAAAATCTTTCCTCAATTACGGAACATCATCGTAGTGCATAGTAAGAGTTTGTCATCTAGAATGAAGATTAGGCGATCGGAAATAAAATGACAATAAACCCGACCGGGTTGTAAGGTAGAGGTAGTCAAGTTGTTGGTCTCGTACCACGAAGATTCTGTGTTCGAATCCCACTTTGGGCAGGGGTGCAATTTATCACTCCGTTCTATCAGTCTTTCTTGTATTTTGTGGGCGGGACTATATGGTGCCCACTATGAAGTAATTCTTAGAAATACATTAGGCGCTAGGGCGTTTATATAATTTTTTGGAAAAAATGGAGGGACGAAATATTTACGTATTTTTTGACGAAATGCATTTCCCCGAAGAAGTGACGATTACTATTTCGTCACTTTGGCATAATTTTTGCTCGGTTTCGTGAAATTTGAGTATCCATTTTTTACGGCTGCCATCAAATAATAATATAACAATTTTTACTGTGACGCCATTGAATTTTTCCGAAATGCATATTTTGGTTATGCTTATGCATTTCAGTCTCGATTTAACGAATTCATTGGGGATGAAAACTTTATTCATAAATTTCGGGTCATTAGCAAATTTGAGATATAAAACTAATAATTTCTTCCCTTATTTTATGAAACAGTAAAAAAAAAAATTCATTTTCAGAGAATTTACCATAAATAGAAATTGTACAATTTTAATTTAACAGCTTTGTTTGTCAGCAATCTTTAAACAAGCACAGGCGCCTAAATCTAAAAATATACCCTACTTTACGAATAAAACATGTCAAAATAACTTTGATCATGCCTTATTTTTAAATACAGTAAATGACACTGTTCCTGGAATTATCATAGAGCTGGTATGTAAGTAGAGCGAGCCTCGCTGGCCGATTTTTGTTCCCATAATAAAACTGTGTCTGGTTCCTTAATAAAGACACTTTTTAACATTATGGATTCATTTATGTGAAGTGACTCCCTTCATTGTGTTAAAAGTCAAGCAAAATCTAAAAAAGCCAAATATTTAGTTCTGTGAGGCAAAGCTATAGTTATAAACTATCTATACCAGTTCCCATAGTCTTGTCTGGGATTCTTAACCGATTTAAAAGCTATTAACCTATTTTTAAAAAAAATGCTAGTTCGGCGATATTTTTTTCCACCTAAATAAAAATTAGTAAGATCAAAGAATAGTTCTCAATGTTTGCATGTCCTTAGATACAGGTAAGCTAAGATTGACCTAACAGTCATGGATAACTACTACTAACTTACAGCAGTTATCAAAATAGCATATTATTCGCAAGAAAGCAGGATTTCAAATGACGACAGAGTCTTAAGAAACAAATGGATGTAAACTCTAAGACTCCGATAAGTTATTGAACCGTGACAATTAGACATAAAATATATTTAAAAAATAATTTCCCTTGGCTCAAATTTAATCATTATCAAGTAAGAACAGTTATTAAAATGATTGAATCACGAGAAAAAAAAGGGTGATTGGTCGCCATGTCAGAATTGGTTGAGGCGAGCTTCTTATGTAAATATCGTTCAATTGATACAGACCGGCCAACTGCTTTCATAATAACATGTTCTTAAAAGGATGATTGACAAGTTAAGGGTCAGAGCACCGTGATCTGATCAGTAGAAATCGGTGCGAACTAATAATTTACTGTTGAGAAAATCGTATCGGTTTCCCGTATCGAGACAGTTCTGAAGAAGAAAAAAAATGTTTAAACGACAAAAAATTGAAGATATGCTATTATACTTAAATCTGCGGCAGATAATTGAATTTTAGTGTCATTAGTTTAACTATATTGTTGGTTAGGGAATGTGATAGTTAAGGAATCTGATAGTTAAGGTTATGAAACAGTCATTGTCACAAGTTTGGACTCTTGACAATGACTATAAAGCCTTGGGGCCATCTATGCTTTCTATAACGTATTTACACTTGCGTGAAAAAAAATTAAAATAAGTAGTAAAAATGTTAGGTAAGAACTTTTTTTCTTTGGATTAATTTTTATGCGGTACAGATACTTACACTAATATAAATTTTTTGTTGTTGTTAGATTTAAAATATTCCTTTAAGGATTTTATTAAGATTTTTTTTAAAAATATTTCAATTGCCTTTAGCCTCCTCTTTTAAGACAAAAATTGTGAAATTGATATGAATATAATTACTTGCTTATTTTTAACTATACGTACGGAAAATATAATATGAAATTGAAATTTTCAAAATATAATTGTTGAATTCATGAAATTTTCAAATCATCTGAATTTTACATCTTAACTCTTTCGTTTAAATGTAACATTACTCATCAGAGTTTTCTTTATCCATGTATTATATTATTCGGTTTATTTTGTCCAAATAATAATAGTTGAATTACATAAATTTTCAAACTGTCTTTAAGTCTTTTTTTGTATTATTGCACAACAGGGTTTATATATTTTTTAAATGTATAGAAAAAGGTACAAAAGTATACACCCTGAATAACTTTCAATCCAATGATCAGATTTCCACGTACACGATCTTAATGATTCGTGTACCTCACCATGATTGTGATAACTAATTAGTGCAGATGATACTTCAAGTTGAGAAATCGTACATAAAAACGTACTTTATTTGAATAAACATTCTTTATAGGAATTTTGATTCTTGATCCTCAAAATATAGGGGTTCTCCGGAGAATCTCGATAATATAGTCCCAATAATATGACTTGATCAGGAGACCGGTCAAAAATTTTTGCCCATTAATGTTAATTTTACTTTTTGCATATTTCGCTATATCTAGATAAATTTTTTAATGAATTGAAATCTGAAACTTCATAAAAGCACATTTTATTAATACGCTAATAGTAATGAAGTTAAGAAAAAGATGAAATCGAAAAATAATCAAATGCTCTTGTTGAAAAAATGGAACTTAGGAATACCGAATATGCGACATAGTAAACAGTAAAATGAAAATAAGCAATTTTACTGTTGAAACTATAAAACGGTAGCCTTACATCATATAACAGGTCTCATTGGAAGCAGTTTTTATTTTCAGTATGTGCATTTTTAAAAATTTCGACATAAATGTTAAAATTAATGTTCAAATTATGGCAACATCTAACTTCACTTTTAATTTTTTTATTTGTTCATTTCTTGTTACTTTTGACATAAATAATTATTATTCAAAAATTTTTTGCAAAAACACTTAAAATTGCAATCAATTTCAAACAAATAGGCATTTCAAAGAAGAAAAAAAAGAAAGAAAACCTCTGGTTAAAGTTTAAATATAAAATGATCCTATTAGCACGTCAAATTTCGAAGCTATGGTTGCATTTCAGCCGAGAGTAAATCAACCGGCATGGTTTTTTCTTATTACAAGTTTAACAGTTTATAATTATCAAACTACTAATCGAATCTCATTTTTTTTATCTCATCAATCTCCTTTTACATCTACACACCTTTAGAATTTACCAAAATTCCAAATCCTACGGATTTTGAACAACAAAGCAAAATGTAACGTAAAGTAAAAATAATTGAAAAAAATTCATAAAAAACCAGTTAAAATCTCAATAACCTTCGAACAAATTAAAATTTCAAAAAAAATTAATAAATAAATAAATAAAGGAAAATAAAAGAAAAGAAAAAGGAAAGGAACTCTGAGTTAAGTTCCGAAGCAAATATGGTCCATTTAGCACTCCAAATTTTGACTTTGTAGGTGAATTCTTGCAGCCTGTAGAGCAGCCCGTATGGTATTTTTTCAATTTTAACAATTATTTTTTTAAAACTATTTATCTAATTATTAAATATTCATTTTTTTATTCAGTATAAATTTCTGTGTACTTATCCACACACCTTAGTAATTTCAATTTTCTTTTCGAAATAATACGAAATGCAATGTTAAGGTGATCATTTAAAACAGCGTCATCACGATTTTTCTAATAAAGAGAAAAATTAGGCTTAGTAAAAATGAAAAAAAATTTGGTCCCGTGCGTACGTTAGAGTATGCTGTCGAAGTGTGTCAGCTTGTAGAAGCGCCTATTTGTCTTAGTTGCAGTGATGATCTTATATATGAATTTTTAAATGAAATTAAGCTTAACCGAAAAATCACCCAATCTCGTGCGTACGTAGACTCTTGGAGCGTGTGGGCCAGGAGAAGCACTTCGTTCTCCTTTTGCCGTTCCTGAAAAGGTTAACTGTGAGAAATGCACCAATTTGATCATAATAAAACCTTGACACAAGAGACTTTTACAAAGCAGAAATGCGCTGTATACTTACCAAATTCTTTGTTCCACATTGGCGTCCATGCAGGGACATGGCTAGAGTGACATGTCCATCATCAGAGACGGACACCGAATAGCAGTCATAAGGATGTCCTACAGCGTACACTCGACCTCGAAAAGGAGTTGAAACTCTTACTATCGCGCTCATCGAGCTTGGACCACACTTTATATCCACTATAGAAGTAGAAGAGATAAATGAGTTAATAACTAAATTAAAATTAAGTAAATGGAGAAAAATAAATAAATTACCAATTGATATATTAACTGAATTTAAAAGTAAATAAATAAAAAAAAGTCAGACTAGAACTTGCGCATAGAATCAATGTATTGAAAGAAGTCATTTGTGCTTTTTTACACTTATTTGAAAAGACATTTTGTTTTACATGCACTGGTAAAACAACGATATGGCGTGTGAAGTAGTCGGCCGCATTGGTTTGAATAAATAGTGTTTAAGAATATGTTAAAGATAGAACAAAAACAAAATTTAGCAACAAATTTGATTTCATACAGATCAGAAACTATGTATTTGAAATAAGAAACCACTTCTTAAATTTGTTGGTTACCTTTACTAAATACTTAATATCTAATCACAATCTTTAATTATATTTATTTTAGCCAAGTTAATTCAGTTTTACTTTGGTGTTTTTGTTTGTAACCAAGTTTCTTCAAATTTAACCTCGTGTTTCGATTTAAACTAAGTTACATAAATTTTAACCTAGTACTTTAATTTTAACTACGTTATACGAACTTTTAACCTAGTTTTAGGCGCGGTGTAGCCAAATCATGGCTCTTGCGCCAAAAATTTTCCACCCTCACTCACACTCATCTAATCACAATCGACGAAGAAAAATACTCCAGGATAAAACAAAAATTAAAAAAAGCTGTTAATGAATTGTTTTATAGCAACTGCTCTCTTCAATCTTTAAGTGATTATTTTCTTCATTACATTTAGCTTCACTGCATATTTAGCGTTTTAAAATTTGGTGATACATAATTAATGTTTAGCAATTAGCGGTATAATCTTATTAACTTGAAACTCATTAAAGTTCAGATTACTTTGCAAAATATAATGCATTTTAAACATATAGCGAGGAGAAAAAATCTGGAGGCATATTCACTCTCCTTAAAAGACTTTCTTTTTGTAAAACTTATCTCTTTATCAGTGATCAGAAGTAGCTCACTACTAGCAGTAAAATAATGTAGTCACTACTTTTTTTCGTAGGTTGTAATGTAGTGTGCTCCTTTTTTTTAAAAAGTAGTGCAGTATTTAATCACATATACGATATAAGAATCACATGTGCGATATAAGAAAACAGTATTTTATACGTGGTAACTACTTTTAACGTTAATTTAGAAAGGAAACACGGTTCTAACGCAACTAATTTTTCGAATTTCATTGGTACAAATCTTTGCGGGTCTGTCAAAGGAGGCAATGAAATGACACGGGGGCTGCAGCTAAGCGTAAATAGAAATTGCGTATTTAAAATCACGTATAACTAATATTTAAACTAGCCATTACTAAAAATAAGTAATTTACCACTTTGGTCTCACTTTCACATGCGAATGCGCACTTGAAGAGCATCATTGTTTTCTCAAAAGCAGCAAGCGTATTTTCGATGTTCTCAATTTCTTAGAGGAAATAAAAGAGCATTAAGCAATTAAAGGGAGAGCATTTGATAATTTTGCAATTCTTATATTAAATATTAGCTGTCGAAAAAGGCTTAAAAAGTTGAAGGTTCAATAAACAAATTCGTACAAAAATGTTTTGAAATTACAAACTGGCTCACGTAAACATGAATGAATAATTGTTAATTACTCCCTTATACAGGGTGTTTCATATTGAATGGGACAAAAAGAATAGCGCAGTGTGACTGCTGTAATGGATTTATTCAGCCGAAACAAATTTATTCTGCAACTACAATTATACAAGTTTTATTTGGCAACAGGGAAAAGTCATCGAATGACGAACTCGCCGTTAGAGGCGCTGTTAAGCAAAATGTCATCCATGCAGGAGAAATCGTACTGCGTTTTCGAATATGCCAAAACCTCCTCGGTCACTGTTGTGCAAAGACATTTTCGCACAAAATTTCATAAAGAACCACCGCATCAGCATAACATTAGCAGGTGGGTGAAGCAGTTCCAGGATACCGGCTGCTTATGCAAGAACAAAAGCCCAGGACGAAAAGAAACTCCATCACAGCGAATATGCTATCACGAGTGTGACAGGAGCTTGATTACCGTGTAGACATTTGTCGTGTCACCGGAGGGGCATATATTGAACACCTGTAGAAACTTGAATAAATGTAGTTTTTAAGTAAATTTGAATTTTCTAAATATATTAATTATAACGTTTACAATCATGTTTTCTTTTTGTCCCATTCAATATGAAACACCCTGTACTTAATGTATGCCAATTTTTTTTATTCAAACCCATTTTGAAAATAGGTTATAACTTTTAATATATTATACAATATATTTTAATGAAAAATATATTTTAATACATATTTTTTTATAATAATAACTTTTACTAAATCTTTTGTGAATCATATCCTATTGCTATTATAAACTACCTACTTTCCAACAAAAGTAGAGCAACGGAACATTCTTGCTGTTTCACGGCTTCAATAACTGTATTTGATGTTAAATTACTCCAAGAAATAACTCTATTTCCCTACATCACTTTTTGTGTGAAGGTAGTTGCCACCATTTTTGGTGTTAGGATGCAATGAATTATTTTAGAATATAGATAAATGATATTAAAGCGTGTGTACCATCAACACAAGATTCTTTTTCAAAGTAGGTGCCACCAATTGAGTTTTCCAAATCCGCTCTTGTTCCTTTGTAGAGAGGATCAAGAGGTCCCATCTCCGAGGATGAATCTTCAGGACTCAGAAGACAGGTGTCAGGATCGCTATCATACTGATACGATCTACAGGGAAAGGGAGAAGCATGAAGACATGCCAGCTCACATTCAGATTTCGATGTGATATTGTTGACAACTTGAATATGACGATGTCTCCACTGGATCGCTCGTGACTGCCGACTTTTAAAAAGACATCCTTGGGGTTCTGGAAATATAAAGTAATTATTAAAATTAATGCAAAATAGTGAACAAAGTATTTTTTTAAACTTTCTTTCTTAAAGTTTTCCTTCTTTTTTTTCTTTTAAAGAAAAATTAATATGTGGTAGAGGCATAAGGTTGAAGCATAAAGATAGGAGTTGCGATTTGCTTATTTTTCTATAAACAGAATGATACATAACATAGGGGTTTTGATTTTTTCGTTTTTCTAAGAAGAATGAAGCACCTAGTGGTTGTTTTTTCGTATTTTTTTCTGTGAGGGAAGAAGCATAAGTTTTTGCGTATTTTTCCTGACAACACAGTAAAATATTGATACTCAAATATCATGAAACTTTCTTCATTTTTGACGAAGCCGTTTCCGGGTAAATGCTTCTAACAAAAATTTCGTCAATATGATGAAATAACTATCATCGCTTCTTCGAGGAAACAAATTTCGTCAAAATTAAAGAAATATTTCTTCATTCTACTCCCCTCTCCCACAAAAAAACTTCAAGAAACCTAATGTATCTATCTTTTCTAATAATCCCTTTATCTTGGATACTGTATGGGTAGAACAACAGATGGAGCAAGGAGATGAATTAAACCAAAGCTTGAAACACGGTTCGAACACCGGATCTCTTTGGTATTAGGCCAACTCCTTGACCACCATATATAGGGTTAGTTTAATTTGTCACTTTGTTTTCGATTGTCTAGTCTTATTCTAGTTTCGTTATTCTAATTAACAGTTTCCCACAATGCACTACGATGAGGTTTCGAATTAAGGAAACATTTTCGTCATACATTTAAAAACTCGCGTTTCTTCAACAATCACGTCATTTCGTGATGAAAAGATTCTCAAAATTAACAAATTACTTCTCAAGGATTACTGTATCATCAGATGTGAGATTTTCGTTTGTGAGTGTGAAGGAAAAGGGGTTTCAAAATTAATAAAAATATACCTTTTCCATATTTGAACTGCTTTTCCGAAAACATATATTAAATTACATTTAGGATTATATTTCATTTTTTAATTAGATTGGAATTAATTGATTTTAGATTAAGATAGATAGCCTTATTCTTGGAAAATATAAATCAACAAGCCTAAAAGCAAATCACGAAATTAAATTCAATTTTTTTTTAATTGTAAAACTAAAAAAAGTTTGTTTTTACCTTCAATGCATTGTTTTTCCAGGTAAACAACAGAGCTGGATTTCGGAGATTGTCGGAATACCTCGGCAGCTGATCGGCGATCATGCCTGCTCAATATACATTCTGACTTTGATGCATCGTATCTGGCTGATCGACAAGTAAATGTAGATTCCGAGAGACAGAGAGTCATACAGTTGGCACTAGAACTAATATTGAACACAGTTTTGTCGAGGTAATGATAGAGTTGCATATCAAGAATTTCATCAAACACCCATTCATGATCACATTCAGTTTCTGAAGAGAAAAAAAAGACATTAATAAAAATATTGGAATCGTATCTCGATATAACATAAAAAGTTATGCTATAACACAGTTTTTCATTTTTTACTGGCTAGAAAATCACACACTAGGATTCAGTTTTCGCACATTAATTTCCATTGTTTATTTGGTTGTCATCAGATTAAAATTTATAAAAACCATATGAGTATTGTTTTCTTATTAAAATATTTTTGTATTCCTGATCAAGGCTGAACTAGATCGTAACTTAACTGTTACGGGACAAGCTGTAGCAATATCCCAAAATTGATTATCATGAGAGCATGATTGTTTCTGGAAAATTGACAGTGCCCTCTATGTAAACAGTCGTTGCTTGAGTTCTAGTTTCTTTTCTTTTCTTTCCGAAAATAAAATTAAACTTGTAAAATTGAAAATTTTGATTTTAAACATTAAATAGGATTTATTATAACGATGAAGATTTTCTAAAATTAACGCTAAAATAAAAAAAAATTAATAAAAGATGTTGAAATAAAAGATATTAAAATAAAAATGAACGATTTTACTTTTTGATGAATTAAAAACTAAAATGTAATTAATTATTTAAAATAAAAAAACTTTTTGAAAAAACAAACAATCTATTACATAGATTAGAAAGGCTTATTATTATATTAAATTCCAGAGAAAAGTTGTTTGCGTTATCTAAATGAAGTTGTTCTATAATTGTTTCAGTATTTGTTGCTATCACTTACAACAAGTTACGTGCATTATAAATATAATTTGATACATAAAGTGGAAATTATGTAAAGATATATAGAAATCTTAAGTTTTTCGGATAATTTCTAAGTTTTCACTTAAAAAAAATTGAAACATAAATTATATTTTTAGTATTTTTCCTTACAGGTTTAAGAAAAGTAGGCTATTTGAAGAAATTTTCTTTTATTGTATTTTACTTATAGCTTTTCGTTCAAAAGCAAAATATTTGAAATAACAATCGTCATTTGAACAAAAACTTATAATTATTTAAACAAAAAATTTCTTAAACAAAATTAACACCACATATAAAATCTTTGATTACTTCACATAAAATTCAAATGCAGGCTCATGTTTTGCGAGCACACTAATTTGCATTTTAATTAGGACGTAAATAAGAAAGTTTCAGGTTTTAGGTAGAGTATACTGGGGTGCTTAAAAACCATCAACTGCACTTGAATATATATGCAGTGATTTGTTAATCAAGTTAGTGTCAAAATGAGAGCTTGAATTTTGATAGCATTTTTTTGTAAAAAATTTCGTCTTTTTCGCCGAGAAAAATAAAAAAGCCTCAGTTAAAGTGCCTTATATTTGCAGTTATAGTTTATAACTACACATGCCATCTTGCTGTGAAGAATTATCTGAACTTTAACAATAAATAACTTGATATTTAACATACTAACTATTTAACTTAATTTATGACTAATAACTTAAATATTTTCTAAGTTATTTTTAAAACTCTCTAATTCGGCGACATTTTTCCACCTGCATGAAAATTATCAAAATCAATGCCTTTTAATTTTTTGTTTATTTTTATAAGCCCAGATAATGCAGCATTGGAGTAAATTTTTAAACATTAAAAAATTAGTCTAGAATTATTATATTAACCAGAATTATGTTTTTTGTTATTTTTTTATTATTACTTTTTTATTATTACTTTTTTTACCAGAAATGTTTTCAATATGCAGTACGGTAATTTTACCAAATTTTTTTCTCATTGTAATTGCACGATATTATGAGTCAATTTGATCTTGGATCTTGGTCTTTTTTCGTCTTTGTTTAATCTTGATTTGATTCTTGGTTCAGTTTAACACCTTATTAAGGTTACAGAAAATGTGCACAATATTAGGATTTAAAGGCACCGGTATTATGGTTTATTGTTGAACCGATATTGTTCAGATTGAATCGAAAAGTGTGCTTCGAGTATCCCCGAAGATTTGCAAAAGAGAAAGTTTATTTGCACGCGAAGAATAAGACTTTTTTTTGTTTGAATTTAAAGTTTTAATAAAGTTTTAAAATAAAAATTTTTAAAACAAAGGAACATGCACTTAATTTAAAACTATTAACTGGACATTCGGTACACTTGAACATTGTGAAATCAAATTTTTTCATATGTCTTAAAATGCTTTTGTTATGCCATAACGGAAAAAAAGTTCGTTATAGATACCATTCCTTTTTTACAATGTTAAAAAATTTGTAATGTTCTGAACCATAGTATCGTTAAAATTTGATTCATTTGGTAAACATAATTACTGTGTTTCATTGTTTTGTAACATTGATTGTTTTTGCATAGAAAACCCAATCCACTGGGTTTTTTGAGAGTTTTATTGATTTGTCTCAGAGTTTATATGGGTTTTTTAAACTAGAGTTTTTCATCATTTATTTTTATTCTTTAATTCTTAAAGTAAATTTTGCTGTATTAAGTAAGATTTTAATTTAATCAATAATTAAGTCCCTACTAATCATGGTTGTTGATACATTTTAGTATCAATGTCATTTACATTGTTAAATTAACAATAATATTTTTAATTACAGTAATAAGGTCTAATTATCTTTGTAGGATTAGCCTATTCTGTTCTTGAATTATAAAGAGCTACTAAATGTTTAAGTGAAGAAATAAATTATTTATGCAAATTCAAATCAAAGACATCAATTTTTAAAGTAAATTAACATGAAAATTGTATTTATGCTGTGGTGCATTGCATTACTTATCCAACCATGTTATTGTGTCGTATGTTATGTACAGTGTAAGAGAGCTTTTAGAATAAACTCTAGTATTTCAACAACAAGAAATACATCAGAACAAGAATTCTAGAACAATTATTTCGCCAGTTAAAAGGTGAAATATTTTTAAAGTATAATCTGTAACTGTATGTAATAAGGTCGGGAAAATAGTATTTAAAATATAACTGTAATTTCAATTGTATTGTGAATTAATTTCTGACATTTTGTGAGAATATCTGAGTACAAAAAATATCATAGTTTTTTAAAAGGTTAATTAAATATTTATGGCATATAGAAATGATGGAAATGTAAATATTTCAATGTATGCAGTTTGTATGTTATTCTATTATAAACTTATTATCTAGAGCTGATCTATTAATAATAAAATGCAATTAGAAAAAAAAAGCATTTTGGTTTTTTTTTCAAGGGTTTTTTCACTTAGGTTTTTTTCAGCATGGGTAAAATTATGACAGCTTTGTGTTCTATATATTTGATCACATTGGAACGGATGTTTGGTTCCGTTTAACGCCTTAATATAGTTACAACAATTGTGCAAGATATTAGTAAGGAACTCACACTATGGTTGGTTCAATGTTAGATGCGTTATTTATTTTTTAATGATTTGTTATTATTATTAAGTTATAATTTCTTTAATTATGTGTAATATTGACTTAAAATTAGGGTATGTTTTACCTGGTAAACAAATTTTTCTGTGATAGCTGCTATTTTCATCAGGTATTAACTTCTTTTCCAGCTGATCTTCGCTTATACCTTGGATGAGAAGACACGAACTATTCCGATAGTCGATAAAGTACGCGGAACAATTTTCATTTTTTATACATTGTTTGAAGCATTCAGAAGGTGGACTTTCGTGAACTTGGATGACACTAGCAGTCGATAGGGTACCAGGTCGTAGACTGACAAAGAGTCTCCTCACAAATGTTGGCTTATTGCTGGCGCAATGAACTGTAAAAAAAGAATATATAATCAATAATAATGATAATATGAAAAAGCTTATTGAATGCATTTTATCCTTATAAAAATACAAGTAATCTACGTATTCGGTAGAGTTCGATTTGGTTATAATCGTTTTTGCTTTCATTGAAAAAAGAGGGTAGTTTGAAGTTACTGAGAAGCATTTATTAAATAAATATTTGAAGTTCTCGTAGAACACCATATACTGTTATTATAAGAAGTTATTCATATACTAGAGGGGCTAAGCCCCTTGTTCTCTGTCGCTCACCAACCCGGATGATTGATTCGCAGTAATTGTGTTTTGTTTTTTTTGTCAGAAAACAGGTTTTATAAAAAAGTTAAAATTATTCACTTAATATATGCTGATTAAAACCAAAACAATATGGAAATGAATGAGGAAATTCTGGTAAAACTACCACAATGTATAGTAGAGACATTTCTGGTTAGAAAAACATAATTCTGGTTAAAAAAACATAATTCTTGTTAAAAGACATAATTCTGGTTAATAAAACTAAAATATCCGGTATTTACACTATTCATTTGGTAATGTTTCCGTTCATATGCTGACGGTTTACTGGAAATTCAGGTTTTCAAAATTGTAGCTTTTATTACCATAGAAAAAAATACAAAACTGAAAAGTAAATTTAACCGAATACACTGCCATGCTCTAAGGTGACATGATAAAATTACCAAGTGTTATCACAGTTAACAAATTTTATCACGTATTATATAACCATATTTTTCACATATTATGTAACCATGTTTCCTTGTTAATTTTACCAAAATCATTACCAAACCGCTCCGGTAAAAATTACCGAGCTGTTTGATGTTCCCATATTGCCAGAAATACATTAAATGTTACCATGTTTTGGTAGTTTCAACCATACTTTTTTTTTTCTCAGTGTACGACTACTCTGACCTAAACGGATTGGTGAGGGGATGCTTTACTTTTTTCATTATACTATGGCATTTCACTTGTTTGGGGTTTGTTAGTGATGGAAGTTTAAGATCTAATTTCATACACTTTTGAATTTTACAAAGCTTTAAAATTTTATTCAGATTTTACTTTAAAACTTTTTGACATTTAAAAATAGAACCAATTTATAAGAATAATAATTCATCTACAGTTTTAAATCTCTAGATCAAACAGAGTCTGTTCTAGAAGTTTGACAGATTTAAAATGAATAGTTTTCAGCTTGGAATGTCGTCTATTGTTTCTGAAAAAAATTATTATCTTCCAAGTTTTGTTTTTAATGATAAATTTTTAACGTGTTTTATGTATATATTTTTTTTCTTTAAGCAATGTATTCCTACTTTTTCTTTCATTAATACTGATAAATAAACAGTTTTAGTATAATATGCCTTTGATGGAAAGCTTCTCATATCATGGTTTACATCTATAATATCATTGTAAAAAAAGATAGAAACATTTATGTCTTTGCAAACATCGTTTACAGGGTTGTTAGTCATGTTTTGAGTTAAACACATTATAATCTAGAAAAAAGTTATTAGTATATTAACCTATCATAGTACATTTCTTCATTTTCAACGATCCTCTATACAAATGTTTATTAAAACCTATAACAAACTACTGAATATTAGAAAAATAGTTATTAGAAGCTTCAAACCATTAGTATCTTTAATTATCAAGCATTTCTAAACGTTGTTTAGATTTATTTGAAGATTAATAAAAAATAAATGATTAAAATTTCAGTAACTGTATTTTTATTAATATAAAACAAATATATAGTTTCAATATTATTGATAATCCTACAAAAGTTACTTTTCCCCCCAAAAAATATAAAGAAATAAAATTTAATGATGAAAAGACTTTGCTATTCTGTTATTTGAAAAATATTTAATTAATTTCAGAAATTTCATTTCTCTTATATAATCACTTTAGCGCTGTTATTATAAGAAAATATCACCAAGAGTAACGCAAAATCTTGTAATAAAAAAAAAATTTCTGCAGATTTTTAGGCGTATGTTGTTTGGTTTGAATGGTTCTTAAATTATTTCCAAAAAAAAGTTTTATGTTGCTTAATATACTATTAGATAATAAGATGAGCCTAGATAGCAACCTGTCTGAGAAATCAACTCATGATTGCTAGACAGCAAAGAAAAATAATTGCAGCTAATTCGAAGCTTAATGTCCCATTGGCGCAATGGGAAGCACTTGGGGTAGAGTCAAATCCCACTCTGAGAAAAAAAATTACTGTTGAAACTACCAGAATATTGTAAAATGTACCGTGCTTCTGACTCTATGGGAACACCAAAAAGCTAAATAGTACTTAGGCAATGATTTTGGTAAAATTAGCAATACAATATTGTTTTGGTAAATGTAGTAAAAATTGATGATTTTATTATGATACCTTAGAAAATAGCCTAAAAACCACTTTTTCGGTTAAATTTACTTCTCAGTTTTTTAATCTTTACTAAATGTGTGATAAAAAGAACTATAATGTCGAAAACCGGATATTCTGGTAAACCTTTACCATATGAAAAATTACCAAATGAATGGTTTAAACACTGTATATTTCGGTTTTATTAACTGAACATCAAATGTATATTTTTTAAATCTTAACTTGCATAAACCACCAAGTAATTTTTTTTAACTTCCAGATAAAACAGAAAGTGATCGAGGGCAATTATTTTGATTAAACAAAAATGAAAAATTAAGACTTACAATGTTTTTAAATGTCAAATAATGTTTTCATCAATATTTTTGTTTTTCATTCTGACAAAAAGAAGAAAAAAACGACGATGGTTAACTGAATAATTTGTTATGACTTAATTAAACTCAGTTCAGCTCGATTAAATTTAAAGAAGTACTTTTTTTTATTTAGTTAACTGCACGATGTTTTCAATAGTATTTTTGCTTTTAGATGAAACAGAAAGAGAAAATGCATAGTTAATTTGATTTAACTATGCATAATTAGATTTATAACACTTTCAATTGCCGTTTAAACGAATGAAATAATTTAAAATTTAGAAATGGAATAAGTCTTTATACAGTCTATAAACAACCAACTAAAAATTTTGTATATTAAGAATTTATCTTTTAAGTTTCCAGTTCTTATATATATATA